GATTTTTAATTGAGATAATGATGAATTAAATTAAAATATCTAATTGGGAGTGTTTGGCAAATTTAGAGGTGTTTGGGTTGGAGCCCAAGCCAATTCCATATGGGAATAGGGCAACTTAAATTGTACTATAAAAGAAAAGTGTTAATTGAAAATATGTGTAAAAAATTCATTTTGTTCATTTTGATTATTTTTCATTGAAAAGAGAAAAACTCTCCAACCCTTAAACACTCTCACTCTCACGCCACTTTTGCTTTTGCAAAGAACCAAAGTTCTTCTTTGTTTTGTTTTTCTTGATTTCTTAAGGCCAATGAGGATCTAGCAAATCCCTCCTTGGTTATTGTTGATTGTCTTCGTGTGGACCTCTACGGTTCGATCCTACACTTGGATCGGTAGCAAACACGTTCAGAGACAATATTGGTGGAGCCTCTAAATGTGGGTATGGTTTCTTAAACCTTGAACTGATTTTTGCAGATTTGATTATTTTAATGTAAACTGTAATTTTTGTACCGGATCTTGGTTCTAAGGAATGGCCCATAGAGTTTATGTTTTTGTTTTCCGCTGTGTAACTAGGTCGTTCACTAACACTAACATCAGCAGTTCATTAAAAACCAGAATAGCAACAATATCCATTCAAACAGAACAGCAAGTACCAGAAACATATCAACCACTCACCTCCAGTTAAACACCAACAATAGTAGTGTTCACTTTCAGAGAAATCAATCAACACACATTTTTCATAAGTTCAAGCTTACACAACTTTAGTCATCAGCAACACCTATTTTTAATCAGTAGACATACCATTCCATATCTCTTTCAACAGATCATACTCCCATATAAGTAGAGAAGAACCACACATAGTTCAAGTTCACACAATTTCAACATATTTTGCACAGCTCAAACTTTCACAATTTTAGAGAAAATAAAGTCAATTTCCGAGAACTATATCATACCATTCACCAGCAGCTTCATTTTGACATGTATCAGTACCACATAATCCAGCAACTCACCCTCATGACTTCAATCCTTAACACAACATTTGCATTCTCAATTAACAATTTCAAGAGAACAAACTAAACAATCATTCTAATCAGATAAGGAATCTGTAACAATGAGTTTCTCCTTCAGATAACTAAATTGATTTCCAGGTAAAGCTTTGGTTAAAATGTCTACCACTTGGTACTCAGAAGCTACGTATTACACACTAAGCTCTTATTTGCAACTAAATCTCTCACATAATGCACATCAATTTCGATGTGCTTTGTTCGAGCATGAAATACAGGGTTTGAATACAGTGCTCCAACACTCATGTTGTAACACCATAGCACAGGGCAGCTGTTCAAACTAAGACCAACTTCTTCACATAAATTCCTGATCCATACAAGTTCTGTAAAAGCTTGACTTAAGGCTCTGTATTCTACCTCAGTAGATGACAAAGAAACCACCTTTTGTTTCTTTGAACTCCATTGAACTAAATTTCCTCAATAAACACAACATACCCACTTGTAGATCTCCTGTCATTAACATCAGTAGCCCAATCTGCATCTGCATAAGCTTCCAGTAGAAAATGTTCCTTTTTAATAAACAATAACCCATGATTCAGTGTTCCCTTCACGTATCTAAGAACCCTTTTACATGCTGTCCAATGATTGACAGTGGGCTACTGCTGAAATTGACTTAACTTGTTCACAGCAAATGCAAGATCAGGTCTGGACAATGTCAGATACTGCAGCCGTCTAACAATGCTTCTGTACAGTGAAGGTTGATCAAACTGATCACTATCTTCTTTCCCCAGTCTAGTACCAGTGGCCATGGGAGTAATACAGGATTTAAATTCATTCATACCAACCCTTAGCAGCAAATCTTGAGCATAATTACTTTGTGTGAGCAACAACTCTTTATCATTTCTCTTAACTTCAAATCCAAGAAAATAACTCACAGGACCACGAACCTTTAAAGCAAACAGGGTATTCAAATCTGCCACTATCTGATCAACCAGTTGAGAGTTGTTTCCAGTAACTAATATGTCATCTACATACACCAGGAGATAAACTATAGCAGATTCCTTTTTATAGAAAAACAGACTAACATCAGAAATAGAATTCTGAAATCCCCAACTTAATAGAGCCTGTTTAAACTTTTCAAACCAAGCTCTTGGAGCTTGTTTGAGTCCATATAGTGCTTTTTGCAACTAACAGACCTGCCTTGTTTGAGAAAAATCAGAGAAGCCTTCTGGTTGCATCATAAAAACTTGTTCAGTCAATTCTCTATTGAGAAATGCATTATTTACATCTAGTTGCTGCACTTCCCACTAATTATACACTGCTAAGGATAAAATAATTCTAATAGTTGCTGCTTAACTATTGGAGAAAATGTCTCAAAATAATCAAGTCTAGGGATTTGTTGAAACGCCTTAGCTACTAACCTAGCTTTATACTTTGAAAGAGAGCCATCTGAGTTTAACTTGGTTTTAAACACCCACTTGCAGCTACTATGTTCATACCATCTGCATAGGGAACTAATTTCCAAGTCTGATTGTTCAACAATGCTTGATATTCAGCCTCCATAGCAGTTTTCCATTCTGGAGTTTTTAAAGCTTCAGTAACTGAGGTAGGTTCAGGGGGTATTGTATGTGTAGATAGAATAGCCTGAGGTATATTAGTTGAAACACAGCCCTTGGATCGGGTAACCGTTGGATGAACATTTACATTTTTGCTATTAGCTAGGATGGGAAGAACAACCTCTAGCTGAATTCCAAGATAGGTTTGTGTTGAAGTGGATGCTATAGGCATATTCTCAGGAGAGGATAAGGTATCAGCTTGGGGAGATAACATTCTGCAGTTCTGAATGGACTCTTTTGAAGCACTCTCTTGATTAATGTCTATAGAAATAACAGGTTTAGAATCTGAAGGTTTGGATGAGGATGAAGGTGATGGCAAGATCCAAGACTTGGTAACCTCACAAAATTCAGGTGAAACAGGAGAAGACACATCAGGTTGAAAGCCAGACTTGAATGGGAAATCAGTCTCATTAAAGCGAACTTGTTTAACCATATAACATCTGCCATTGGAATTCATACATCTAAACCCTTTATGAACAAGGCTATAACCCAAGAACACACATTTTTCGGTGTGAAAAGACAGTTTGTGCCTTTGATAAGGTCTAAGAAATGGATAACAATAGCAACCAAATACTTTCAGATCAGTATAATTTGGTACTTGTTGGAATAAGGCTTCAACAAGGGATACAAATTCAATAGCTGTTGAGGGAAGTCGGTTGAGTAGATACACTGCTATACTAAAGGCTGACCACCAGAATTTCAGAGGCATGGTTGCATAAGCTAGAAAGGATTGCCCATACTTAGTAATAATCCTATGTTTGTGTCCTACTCTACCATTTTGCTGATGAAGATATGGACAAGGGTGCCTAAACAAGATGCTATGTTTCTCTAAATAACTAGTAAAGGGTCGAAATTCCCCTCCCCAATCTATTTGAAAGCATTTTAGTTTTGCATCTAATTACTTCTCCACAAAACAATGGAACTGAGTAAACACATTAAAGACTTCAGACTTTAGTTTCAGTGGGTAGATCCATGTGTATCTACTAAAATCATCCACAAATATAGCATAATACCTATACCCTTAAGTAGAGAGAATAGGGGCAGGACCCCACAAGTCAGAGTACACTATCTCTAAAGGTTTCTTAGCCCTGGAAGCAAACTTAGGAAATGTACACTGCTGTAATTTTCCAAATTGACATGCTTCACAAAAAAATTGTTTATTTTCAATACTTGATTTTCTTACATTCAACTTTCCAAGTACATTATTTAGAATCTTACTACTAGGATGACCTAATCTGGCATGCCATAGTAAAACACTACTAGATGGCTCATTAAGTAAGATCTTATTTGCAGAATTACAGGCAGGAGCAGAATCTAAAACAGTACCCAAAGAATACTCTTTATTGGGTTTGAATGAACTAACTGCATGGGTATTGAAGGCGAAAACAGAGCTAGAATCACAAAGTGTAGGTCTTAGTGTAGAATTAGCTGAAAGAGCAGCAATGGTGGGCAAGGTAAGCTGATAGAGGCCATCCTTTACTGTCATTTGAAGAAGAATAGCCTTTCTTTGCTTATCCTTTATCAAACAATGGTCAGCATGAAACTCAACTATCACATGATTATCTTTAGTGATTTGAGATATGCTTAGTAGGTTCTTAGCAATACTAGGAACACACAAGATGTTATGAAGTTGTAAAATTCTATTTGAATCAGCAGAGGGTAACAGTAATGTACCTGTATGGGTAATGGGAATGGACTGGCCATTACCAACTTGTACTTGGGACCCTCCCTAGTAGTTAGACTTCATCAGCATGTTATTTGCATCGGTAGTCATATGATTTGAGGCTCCAGAGTCCATGTACCAGGACTGATCTGTGAGTGTTTGTAGAGTAGCAGTAGCTGGAGCATTAACATGAGAGAACGGTGTCAAAGAGGTAGTGTTTGAGAAAGTGTTTGTATTCTGGTCTGGTGAGTAATTTTGAGGTGTGTGTGGTTGAAATTATGGAGTGCTGTAACTTGGTTGAAAACTTTTAGGCATTCCAGCAGCAGAAAAATCATGAAAACCTTCATAAGAGTTTGAAGAAGATTTGGGTGTTATAGTATTTGCTGCAAAGAAAGCTTGAGCAGGAGCATTAGGGTCATGTGAGTTTCCTGAGTATGATTGAGTATTACTGACTGGAGAAGTAGTTATCTGGGCTGAAGAAGGACTGTATTTACCATGATTTGTGTTCATAAACCCCTGGTACTCATAGTCAAAGCGGTGATAACATTGAAAGGCCGAGTGACCATTTTTCCCACATACTTGACAAATTAAATGAGGCCTAAAGTACCCTCTGCCTCTCATCCCATTGTTGTTAAACTGACCAGCACCAGGAGCAGGATATTGAGTAGGAACAGGATGAGGAAAGGTGGTAGAATACATGGCTACATTAGGGGGTTGTTGTTAGGGATAAATTCCATGGTATTGTTGTTGGGGATAAATTCCATGGTGTTGATAATTCAACATTCCTTGTGAAGACATAGGTGAAGGGTTAGAGTTCTGCCATGTAGTTGGTTGAATAGTAGAGGGAGAACCAAAATTCTGAGCAGTAACTCCTCTAGCCCCGGTATTTTGGAATTGTGGTACAAAAGAAATTTGGAACTGTGACACACCTCCAACATCACTTGAAGCTTGTTTTGTGGCTAGTAGTGCAGATGATATACCATGAAAGTTAGATAGTATACTATTCTGCTTCTCAATTCTCATCTCATGTTTGTTGAGTAGTATCTGTGCTTCTTGGAGAGTGGTAGTACTACTGTTATCCACCAAATTAGCTACCATCGCATTAAACTTTGGACCTAAACCGTCCAGAATGTATAGCAACAATTCCTCATCTCCAATTTGAACTCCACTGGCCACTAGTTCATCCCCTAACTCTTTCATTTTCAAAATATACTCATTAACACTCATAGACTCCTTCTTATTGCTTGGCAATAGATTTCTCAAATGAAGTGTTCTCGCCTTTGAGAAAGACTGAAAATGCAATTCTAATGTATTCCAAATTTCATACGCACTACCACACTTAGCAACATGTCTAAACATAACGCCCGTAATGGTAAGAATGTACCCAGCTAACTAGAAATTGATCCGTCTTTTTCCAATCAAAGTACTTAGGGTTAGGTTTCCTGTTATTTCAGAATCTTGAATTTGTTTGTAAAAAAACAAACGGGCATACATGCACACCTGTGAATCCATCAAGTTCATAGAGGTTAACCAGTAATACCTGGGATCTCCAGTGACTGTAGTTTCTTTCCCCTAGCTTGATTGATAAGTTTGGAAAGAAATGGGCAACTGAACTCAACGCATTTGCACTGTCAGCTCGTTCACAATCTTGGAGCTAGAATTCAAGGATCCAGAACTGAGATTAGCCATGCGTCTGCTATTCTGCCGATACCATGAAGATTCTGATCGATTGAAAAGAAAATTAACAAAGATTAAAGAATGGTGAAAACATTGAGAAAAACTGCAGTTTTTACTTACGCAAAAAGGAAGTTGCGTTTTTATATCAGGAAGATGATAAAAAACGCTCGTACTGTGCTTAGTACAAAACACACCGTATTGGTGTCATTACAATAAACCCAGTCTACTTTTACTCTTTACACTTTAACCCAAACTACTATTAGCTTTACTTAACATTTCTTTTGCCTAATTTCCCCTTACAACAACACCTCTTGGTTTTGATCTTAACATTTCCTAATAGCAACACATCATATTACTAACAGCTTGGAGTTTTGACATTCACAAACCCACTTTGAGGGGATTACAAATAGGAATGCATAATTCCTTGATCGTTGGCTGTGATCAAGGAGCAATTCTCCATTCATCACTCATAATTTTATGTGATTGATTGAATATTACATTATATGTATTCATTATTTTCCATTTTTACAATTACAAAAAGTGTATAAATTAGCGTTGTTAGTTTTATACAATATCTTAAAAAAAATTCATACTTCTTCTCTCTATTTCTTTCTTTTTTGCATACTCCGGCAGTATCATTGTCTTGAACTGCTCCTCTTTGCCTTCTCTTTCCTCGATTCCTTACAATTTCTTTTTTGGGTTTTTTTTGTGAATTTCTTTTTTGGGTTTTTTTGTTGAATTTCTTTCTCGACACCAGATTTGGCATTTTCCTGGCCAGATCAGCGCATTACCACCAATTCCGACATGTATTGCACTGTTTGTGACAGATTCTGGCCAAATCGGTGCGCTACCAGCCAAATTCGCCCGATAGTGCATGTGACGCCAAATTCCACGGTGGTGGGCGAAATGGCAACTGGTGTGAGTGGGAATGTTTTTGTCATTTTACAAAAAATTTATATGTGGGGTGTTTAGTAAATTATAACCTAGGGGTTTTTTTGGTTATTTTTAAATCCTATTTCGTAATAATCATCCAACTCTACTTACCAAATATTTCAAAAATACTAAAACAACACAATATTTTTATGAAATTTCTTGCATCATTTACATTACATGCCATTAGATTTAACTTTGGTGGTTGTGATTACTTGGTGATCTCTAAAGTTTTTAATTTATGTTTTTCAAATTTAATTTTTATTATATATAATCTAAGATTTCATATAATTCCCTTATTAATTATGAATTTTAGGGCATTACTTACATGTCTTAATGCGAGTAGAGTGATGTTTCAAAAGAAGAATAATTCTTTTTACCTTTGAAATTTAAGTAAAGGAAAAAGCTGTGAACCAAAAAAAAAAAAAGCAAATAAAAGTTATTATCAAACAATCCCCTTTTTTCCGGCAAATGTATCCAACGGGGACTACATAACCCACAATTTTACCAGGTTTTTCATGAATCCAATACGAAATTCAGAATTAGTTGCAGGTAGTCAATTCTCAAAGATTGCAGGTACAAAATTACCATATGCCACACAATATTAGTCATCTTCATAGTACATAAAACACTACAAGCAAACGAAAGTGAATAGTGTAAAAGAGAACACAAGTTACAAAACACAAATCTGCTACCCAAAAAACAAAGTACGATTCTGATGTCTTACATATAAAAGAAAAGACAAGCCACAACTTTATCACTCAAAACCCAATATGCTTACCTCAAATAAAGTACGAGTCTCGGTCTTTTCCCTATAAAGAAACACAAGACACAACTTCATCACTCACTCAGTAACCTCTTCCTTTGCTTCTATTCTGGTCTCCATATTACTCCCTCGTTTTCCTCTTGGAGTTCATGTAATGAGGTATTAATTTTTCTCAAAGCCATTATCGAGACAGCTATTGCTAAAAGGCTGTGCATCCCCATCGATAAACTTGACCAACTCCCTCCTTTTTGTGGGCCAGCGCGTCCAAAATTTGATTGTTGGGATATGGAGAGCAAGGGCTCTGTGGAATCTTAGGTTTTACGTGAAAGATAATGGGAAACACCTGTTTTTCAAGGCCAGTGGGTTGATTTTGTGAAGAGGACAGCAGCTCGAGTGGCGATGAAGTGATGTTCTACATGGTCATTGATGCCAATGGAAACTCACCTACAAGATGAAACCTTTCCGTAATTTTATGGGGTACTGAATTTGTTGCATGTCCCAGTGTTAAAATGGTTTCCGTTTTTTATCTGTGTAGACTGTTCTACATTTCAATGGTGCAGTTCTGTTTGTTAGTTTTATTACGTTGTCCAGCCCTTGCGTCGGTGTCTATTATATATTATTAACAATAATACTATATTTTATCACGAGTTTATTAACCCGCCTTATTACTTTATTAAAATTATATATAGTATCCGTAATATGCATAGTATCTGTACTATGTATTATATTTACAAAGGATAGTAAAATGATTAGTAGATCGGAGTAAGCATAACATTACTCTATTATTAAGGGAAAATCCTACGTATACATCATTTTTATATAATTTTATATGAGAGTAGATCGATTAATTTAAAATTAAATTAACTTTCATCCAATCATATCTTGTCATATAATATTGTATAAAAAATACTCTTGTTATATAATGTTGTATAAAAAATATGTATGAGAATGACAAATATAATATTAATTCTTATTAAAATATCGGATTTCTGTAAGGAAAACTCACTTATAGATAGACCTTTCTGTAATTTTACGGGCGCCTGAGCTTTGTTTGCATTTCTTAGTACTATTAGTTTTCATTGTCAATATTGAAATTCTCTCCTCAATTTTTTGTTATAGGACAATAAAATACATAAATGAGGAGAAGATAACTAGTTTGGAGGGATAAGAGGAAAGATAACATTAGTCTGCGAAAGTGAGGTTATTGTAGAAGTGGAACATAAAAAAAAAAAAAATGTAGGTGCGGTCGAGTCAGCCATCTCAAACTTATTTTGCTTTTGAACAAACTTTTACTGTTTCTAAAATAATATATATTCTCGTGCCTTTAGAATACTATTTTTAAAATATGACATTAGGTAATATTACAAATACATTTAAAATTAATAAATACTTCATAGTTTATTTATTTATTAAACTTCTTATAATAATATAAAAGTTAATAAAAATACCCTCACACCCACTTATTAAGGACAGTTACCACCACCGTCGGAGGGTCGTTGGAGTGTTTTTACAATTTCTAAAAAATATTTAAAGGTATTCAGTTAAATTAACAATTTAAAGAGTTTAAAAAAATGTGAATATATATAATATATTTTAAAATAAGTCAATTTTACTATTTAACTTTATGAAAATACTAATAATAGTATTAAAGAGTGTAACTTATCGGGGTGTTAGTTTTTTTTTTTTTTTCCCTTCTTTTCGTTTTAGGTCTTTAAAAGAGCATATCTTTATTTTTTTTTTTTTTTTTTTGGAACAAAATTATGATATTTTTTCTCAAATGTTTGTATACAAAACTGGGGCTATGTTTTTTTACATAATTTGTTTTGATCTTCTCAAATCAGTTGATTCTTTCTATTTTATTGGACATCTATTTCTTTGACTTTTTATAGCTAATCTAGTTTTTCTTTTCCGATTTCTTTTTTTGGTTTCTTTTTTGAATTTCTGATATATATATTCTATAATCTTCTCAAAATATATATTTTTATACAAAACCCTCTGTTTAAGTGTTTTCCAGAAAAATGGAGGCCCAATATCTTAAATTTTACTTTGATCCCATATTATTTACCTAATTGTTTAAGAATTTTTAAGCACTAACATGGTAATGAATTTAATAGATGAAATGCTTATCCGCTAGGTGATAATTTGCATTTTTATCTCTAAAATGGCTAAGCTTTTGTTTGCCAAATTCTGATACTGATCATGTAACATTAGAGGATTATCAGTACCGGGGGATAATGTTACCCTATATGGATTATACATAACGGCCTTATTTCATCCAGACTAGGATAAATAAAGACCGTACACAATCTAGCATTCAGGCTTACTACAGTTACAGGCTAGGCCTATGATACCGGCGGGGTACGGCCCGCCCTTAAATGTTCAAACTTTTATGTTAATTGCGCAGGATCCACATCTAAAGTGGGAAAACCAATCTAGGATCTTAAGCAATGATAAGAGGATATAATTGCACCTCGCAAATGAATACATTCTATCAGAGAAAACGGAGAGTGAAGTGCAAAAGCAACATGTCAATAACTGTTACCAGAATTAGTATCCCATTTGAGTACTCAAAAAGTTATATAAAGATTCTAAACTGAAATATTCTGGCTATTGAGGTGAAAATGAATTACATTCGTGATCATCCTGCCTAACATTCAGTGGCTCATCCTTCCAGTAAGGACATAGGGGGTACGGGAAATACCACTCTTGTAGGGAATCATGAATCATTAAAACTTAAATGCACTAACATGGTAATGAATTTAATAAATGAATGCTAATCAAGCGAGGTGTAATTTGCATTTTGGTGTGGACAATCCATGCTCGTTCTTTTCTTGGGAATTGACTTTCCTCTTCCTCTTCCTCTTGCTTGTCCTTGCCGAACTCTACTCAATTTGTTTAGAATTGTTTCCCACTTCCTCTTCAAGCTGTTCCATGCATTCATCAAAGGCAGCCACTAATTCTGGATCAAATAGTTCCCTGAATGCAT